TCACTGGGCGGGCAGGGGAGTGAGTGAACGCCTGTGCGGTGTTCAGCTGCCTGCCAGGTTAAACCACAACAGCTCCATGTGAAACAGCAAGTCTAAGAAAAGTATCTCTGTTACGGAAGGGTTTTGGAAACAGCTCATTAAATTTTGACCCTGGGATATGTGAAGGTCACTCCATCTAGTCCTAAGTTACTATTCCTTTAATACAACAAGCGAGTGAAGCTCAGTTTTAAGCTGTGGGTGTCCTGATGTTTTCCTCCCATTCCTCATCATTCAATCACAGAATAGAGTCATAGAATCATTTAGGTTGGAAAAGACCTTTAAGATCATCAAGTCCACCCGTTAACCCAGCACTGCCAAGGCCACCACTAAACCATGTCCCTAAGCACCACATCTACACGTCTTTTAAATACCTCCAGGGATGGGGACTCCACCACTTCCCTGGGCAGCCTGTTCCAATGCTTGACAACCCTTTTGGTGAAGAAATTTTTCCTTATATCCAATCTAAACCTCCCCTGGCACAACTTGAGGCTGTTTCTTCTTGTCTTATCATTTGCTACTTGGGAGAAGAGACCAACACCCACCTCGCTACAACCTCCTTTCAGGTAGCTGTAGATCTAGGCCGGCGAGTGCTGCCTATAGACATCATCAGTTATACTTCATCTGCAATAAAGCAGTTGTGGATTTGCATCTATTCTATAAAACATCCCTTTCATATTCCATTTATGTCATTAAACCCTGCCGTTCACACTGCTCACACTGCTCGCAGCCTTCAAGGTGCCGGACACCGAAAGGAGTGCTAACCCCCAGCTACTCGCAGGAGGTGATTCCTCAGGGAGATGGAAAAATTCCCTATCAGGTGTGGTTTCTCTGATTCTTCTTCAGCTGCGCAAAATCCACCCGCAAAATGCAAAAAATCCTGCGGGCGGAAGGCTGCTCCCTTTTAAAAATGGGAACCATACTCAGTAGTGCAGCCGGGGAGAAAACTGGGGGGTTTTTGCCTGAAAAAGATGTCGATTTCTGGCAGGAAAAGAGGCTGAACATTTCTGTTTGGAAATGCTGTGAGTCACAGGAATTGCAGATTTCTTGGCTGGCGAACATCTCCCGTGGTGTTTGCCATTCTCCTTTGTGCTGAGCCACTGCCACACATCCGGAGGGTTCCCCCTGCTCATGTGCTGGGAGATGTCCTGATTTTCAAGTCGTTGTATTCCAAAAGTTTTCAGGCTTGGGGCGTTCTGTTTTTCTGGTTTTGATTTCCAGTTTTGATCAGCCACTGTATTTTCTTGGAACGTGATACCTTTCAAGACCTTTTTGTAAAAAATAAAAAAACAGAAAACAAAATAAAATAAATATGAACTTTTAAAGTTTGGTCAAAAAAATCCACTTTTAATTTTCTGCTAAAAAAAATGCACAGTTGTGATGGGAAACACAGCAAATAACAGAGTTCAGGGGGTACGCTGTTTTATTTAACCAGTGAAAGATTTTTTAAGTAGATGTAACATCGTTGTTCGTGAATATTGCTCAAGAGCGCAAAGATGAGCAACCTTACATTTGCGAACAGCATCTTGAGCTCTCTAGTGACCCTATTTGCTGACAACTTTGGATTTGCATCTTCCACCAGCAGCACAATGTTTCTTACTGCAACAGCATGGTTAGAGGTTGGTTCAATATTTATTCAGACGGAGGCGAGAATGCCGGGAGCTAAATTACCCACACCGCTTCCTGGAGCACTTTAGTTTTCCTTGGAGGTTTCCCATCCAAGCTCTGACCAGACCTGGCTGTTTTGCTTATAAAATCTGACAAGATCACAGCTTGAGGTGGAAGGATTACTGGAAAATGCTTTCCCTACCATCAGACACCTGACTCGGTCAGGAACTTGGTGTGCAAAACCTCGCAACGCCATTGCCTTTGGTTCTGTGGGAATGTAAACACCGCCACCACCGCTCACGATATACGTCCCCGTTGATCATAGCTTCTCAAAGACAGTAGGACAATTGCGGTGCTTTCATTTGCAACAGTACATTTTACAGCCCTAAAAGGTTTTTAAAGGTCAGGTGCCAAATGTCTCCTTGTGAAGTCTCAGTTAGAAGCTATGATGTGCAAATACGAGTTGTTAGAGTAGCGAGTGGGAAGGCTGTAGGAAAGGAGGTACTGGGCATCTCCATTTCCACTTTGGGGAAGTGTAAAAAGCTGTAAATCTTGTTATCCCAGAGCCATTGATATTATGGCTCTGGGATAAAAGATTTATATCAACTTTACCTCTGCCCAAAGCACTGAAACTATGTTCGTGGAAAATTTGGGACCACTCTTTCTACTCTGCCAGTGTACTTTGTATATGAATGGAGAACGACACGGTAAATTAAATAAATGTACTTTCTTTCCTCAAAAATGTATGGAAGTCAACCCTCCTTTCGGGCAGCCTCAGACGCGATGAAAGCAGAGATGCGTTTCCCTTGGAAGCGAACGGGAGTGCAAAAAAGACATCATTAGGACACTGAATTGGGGGCGAATTTGTGACAGTCTAGGCACACAGCAAGTTTATCAGGAACCCCGTTGGATGAGACCGATTGCTGAAGGTAAGTAAGAATGCCCCAAAATGAGACTAGTGTTTCGTAGTCTTCCTGCCAGGACTTTATTATAATTTTCAGCATTTTTCATCAATCCCGCTACCTACTGAGATGAAAGAACTTGTTTTTTGTTAACTTCCAAGGCAAGACTTAAACTGTAGCTATTAGCTTAGAGGAAACCTTCAAAGGCACCTTATATTTCCGCTG